TATATATATATCATCTCTGTATCGTTTTACTTCTCGGCATTTCAAATAAATTAGATTTACGTTAAAATACGGTTCGTTAAGTTCAGAAATGATCTATCCAAACATAACGAGCAATGTAAATTTGCAAAGTTTACTTAAATAAGATGTATCTTGAAAAGGTGATAAGCTATATATATATAGGAAAGGGTTATGTATGTAGATACATCGAGAGGGGTAAGGAATTTCGTGACTCGTTAGTATTAATAAAGATTACCTTGGATCAAAATGACGACGAACACTCCCCAGACACCGAGGAAAACGGTACCGAAAGGAGCCATCCCTTGCGTTGCTCAATTTTCGTCAATTTAACATCATTCGTAGTTATCCACCTGTCTAGACAAATAATCAAAAAAAAAAAAAAAACACACACATACACATAATCATCAAGTTGTTAATAATAATAATAATGTTGATTAGATCTTTTTGAGTGATGAATACTTTCAACTAAAATGTTTTGTAGGAAGGGAATAATTTTTTATTAACATTTTACCGACCGGTAGCGATTCGAGGAATCCTATGCCCTTCTCACTGGGCCACTCAGTCGCATTTCGTCCGAGACACCCCAGCTTGGTTTCGGCTTAGACTATGCGCTTTTCTTATGCTCTGGTAAAATTGTACGATTTGTGTTATTGTAGGATGACCAAATTTTAATAAAATCTTTGATTTTAATGATATTAGTACTGAACAATATTTATTGGTAACTTCTGTGAAATAAAAGTCGATTAATCGGCTGCCGGTCGGTAAAGTGTTAACACTATGCTGTTCGCAGATGTTAGATATGTTTCTTTTGTTTGACAAAGACGGCATAATAGACTTGGAAATTTTGAGATTTTTTTGAAATTTATAAGGTGGCAGCAATATTTATTGTTTTAATTAAAATATGTTATTGAAAAATTGTTCTTATTTAATTGTTGGTTAAATAAGCACAATTTTATAATTATTATGTTCCCCCTAAAAACAGCCATGAAATATAATTCAATTGTAAATGACACCCCAAAGTGGCACCCCATCGGCACACAACAGATTGTTTTTGTATGACACTGGACACCATAGTGTTAATTAGATTTTACATTAATATTAACAAACACCTAGACAATTCTGATAATTTTGACCAAACGCATGTATGCGTCCATAACACTTTAAGGGATAAATGGTAAAAAAAAAAGAATCCAATGAAAATCTCAAGTTAAAAGAATGGTAGTTGTGGATTGGTAGTTGTGTTGCTCGCGTGTCCCGACGTTCCACGTGTCTTTAACGTCGTTCGAGAAAGTTTCGTGCACGGGGCTTCAAGTTCAAGTCTGGCTTCGAGGTCGGGACAGGGTGCCAAGCAGGGGTGTTGAATGTAAGTCAACCGGCCTTTCCCTTGCATTCTAACTTTCTAAATCGAGAAGAACTTTTGCAAATACCCTCGATAAGAATAACCACCTTGAGAATGGTAAACTGGGGGGAAAGAGAGAGAGAGAGAGTACTACGTTCGTGCGGGTATGTCAAAGAGAGAGAGAGAGAGAGAGAGAGAGAGAGAGAAAGAAAAGTTAGCTAAACGTTTTCGATTTTGACTGGAATCTCTGAAAAAAAAAAAAAAAATAGGGGAAATCTTTTTTACAGGTATTCTGTAAGAATATCAAGTTACCCTTATACATTTGATTTAAATCTCATCGATAAATCTTTGATACTTTTTTATATTAAATATTCATAATGAAATGATGTTCTAGTCTTTTATTTTTTTTTCTTCTTTTTTTTTAGGGGAAGAAAGTGAAACCTTGATATTGAAATCAAAGAAACATAGTGGAAAGATTTTCGTTGACTTTTAGAACACCCATGAATCAATTCCAAGGAATAAGAGAGGGTGCTTTTTTTTTTTGGAATAACCCTAGTAGAACAAAATATTGAAAAATATTGAATACATGTGTATTTAATATTAAAATAAGATAAATACACATGTATTCAATATTTTTCAATATTTTGTCCTACTAGGGAATGTTCTAATCTTTTCTAATTTTTTGTTATAATTTATTTTGAGAAAAAAGTGAGAGGAGAGACCTTGATATTGAAGTGAAATAAACGTAGTGGAAGATTTTCGTTGACTTTTAGGACACTCGTGAAACAATTTCAAGGAATAGGAAGGGGTAGTTTTTTTTTTTATTATTATTATTATTCGTAGCCTCGAGCATTTCTTTCGCGTCAGGCGTCGTCTAACGTTTTGCAAAAGCAAACTCTCTTTCCACCACCTCGTTTCTTAACCATTAAATATATATATATATATGTAATATTATATACTAGTACAGGTATATTATTTCAAATAACGATCCTTCGCGTTCGGTCCGAAATAATCCTTCGTTAAGTTTAACGAAAGTATACGGAGGATAACGAAAGCGCGTTATATGTTTTTCGGTTGAATAGAATCAAATTCAATACGAACTTTTTCTTCTCCTACCCCCTCTCTTATTCTTTTCTCTTCTCTTCTCTTTTTTTTCATTCTTTCTCTTCTATACATTCCTTTTCTTTACTCTATTTTTCTTTTTTTCTTTTTTTCTTTTTTTTTTATTTCAGGATAGCCTCGTTAGACCGAAAAGCGTGCGCCACGCACTCGAGAACGGCTTTCGCGCTACGTTGCACCAGCTACTACTACTACTACTACGTCTGAGATCTTTCCTTCTCTCTACGTTTCATCCTCGAGATGAGAAAAAAAAAGAGTAAGAGTAAGAGTAAGAGTAAGAGTAAGAGTAAGAGAAAGAGGAAATGCCATTTCAATGAGGGTACGTTTCTAACGTAAGCATACGAAGGAAGACAACTACGAGTCTCTATCTCTTTCTCTCTCTCTCTCTCTCTCTCTCTCTCTCCCTTTCTGTGAAGAGGCTAACTACGCTACTACGTTCGAGTTAAAACAAACTCATGATCGCAAGAGACTCCCTTTGTGCAAGACACAGTCTCTGAATTTGTTTTACGTTTTGAACGAGATAGATAGAACTTCAGTTAGAAAGAGAGAGAGAGAGAGAGGGAGAAGGAGAGAGAAAGAAAAATATAGTGAGTGCTTTGTCAAGGTGCAATCAATTTTCCTTGCTGTTATCAGTGAGCAATAGTATCCACGTACAACAAAGAAAACACGTATACGAAAGAATCGTGAAAGAGGGTCTCAATTGTCTCAAGACAAATCAACGGGAAAAAGAAAACTCCTCAGAGAGAAAAATACAAAAAAAAACACACACACACACATATATATATCTTCTTCTTCTTCTTCTTCGTGTTATATTAGTTCTAATCGTCATAGTAATTTTTAGTTAAAAAATAAATCTGTGTAGTCATCCGTGTCAGATTCATCGTTTAAAAAAAAAAAAAAAAGGAAGATTGGATCGGGGGTTGAGATTTAGAGTGTTACCCCCTACTTTTTCTAGAGTCCACTCTACCCCATTCCACTTGAACACTCGAAACGTTGTATTCTTAGGTCAGGAAAATTGAAGTAGGCTCGCTTCGAAAGTCGAAATCGATCGATGGATGAGATCTTGTGTCACCTCTACTCTACTTCATCTTTTGCTATCATTCGACGAAGTAGTCACGAACGAAGTATAATAACACGTCAGGTGGTTAGACACAAGGAAAAATCTTTGGCTAGGGGATAAGAAAAGCAAGAGAAAGACAGAGAGAACGAGAGAGAGAGAGAGAGAGAGAGAGAGGTGAAGAGAAAACAAGTGCACTTGTACGTCTCGTTGTACAACCAAAGTGCAATGACTCAAGACTTGAGACTACTACTACTACTACTACTACTACTACTACTATTATAACTCGCCATTTCCGTTTTACACCAGAGAATCCAAAAAGAATAAAAGCAAAGTTTCAGTTGATAAGCAATTTGTTATCCAACCCCCCTTTTCATCCTATTATCCAAAAGACTGATTTCCACCCTACCAACCCCTACTCCCATTTCATTTTCTCTCTTCGTAGGTTTATAGGCGTTGGATGATACCAATTCGAAAATTTGCCTACGTTGCTACTTTGTTACTCGATGAGAAATCGGAGAGCAGTTTTTAAAAAAAAAGGGGGTAAGCCGATGATCCCCGCAGGACTCAAACGATGACGACGATGACGCTCGAGTACAATAAACGAGGGTAACACACGGTATAATATCCTAGGAAAGTGAACGAGATGAGATGATGATTTAATAGGCAAGATATTTCTGAACCTGCATAAGGATACTTCATATTTCATCCCCCTTTTTATCGAATTTCAGTTTGGATTATCTTCAATTTGTTGTTTGCTTACTTGCTTGCTTGATTTCTGTATCTTTTTTTTTTTTAGCATTAACTTAGCTTATTTTATTTTATTAATAGTAATTGATTTAATCTGCTGATAATGGAGCTCGAAATGCTTTTATCGTGACGAAAAATTATAACCGTATATAATAAACCTCCTACGAGGCTATATAACATTGGAATGGGGGGTGTGTATCTGTAGGTCAGTAAAATTAGAACTTTGAAAGTTCCTTTCGAAGGTCGCTCGCTCGCTCGTTTATTCGTTCGCTCGATCGATCAATCGCAGGAACCCTTTCTACGTATGTTTCATCATTTTCTTGATATTCTTCTTTAAAAAAAAAAAAAAAACGGAAGAAGATAATCAAATTTATCAACAACAACAAAACTTTGGATAAAAATGAATGAATTTTGTAATCTTTAAAAGAATAACTGTATCTATTTTGATTCTTTTTTTGATTTTTTTTTGGGTCCATTTTAAAGAGAAGAAAGAAGGGAAGAAGAAGCTACGCGTAAAATCGATTCGAAGAAACGAGAATGGAAGGTCCTTGCGTTCTCTCTTTCTCTCCCACTCTCTTGCTCTTTCTTTTACCCTTTCTAAGGGATGTGTTATTACAAAAAAGAATTGTGGAAAGACATGGAGGTAAAAAAGAAGACTCACTGAGATGGAATATGGGATAGAAAGAAAAGAAAATAAAATAAAAAAAAAACGTGCCTTTTCTGAATGACGCACGCGCGTATCTACATTGTCTATCATTCTCTCTCTCTCTCTCTTTCTCTCTCTCTCTTCCTCTTCTGTCACGTCAACGTAAAAAACGCGGTCACACGAGGTAGACAAATAGAAAAAAAATAAAAAATAAAAGAGTAAAAGAAAGAAGCAACATTATTGAGGATGATTGTAAAACAACGTTAACATTTTTCGTGCAACGAAAAGCATCGAATTTTCACTTCCTTCGAGTTTACTAAAATCATTTCAATCAGGGTAAAAGGGTTCGGGGGATGATTTTGTTCACATTAAAATAAAATAGTAGGAGGACAAGAATAAATCGTTTGATATGGGGTAACAGTGATTTTGTTAGAACGAAAATGAATTATTAAAATAAATGAGGAGAGAGAGAGAGATGAGGGGTCAAACTACTTGGTGTGACTGACCTATCATCGAGTTTCACTACTTTTTCGTATAGAATAATAAAAAAAAAAT